AGGTTTGTTTTTTTTTTCTCCATTAGTTGAAGTGCTGGTGCGTGGCCGTAGTCTTCAAATAACTGTTCTTCTTGGGTACGTTTACTTGTGTGTGAAGTTCTTTCCAAGTTATCGCACCACAATTGATGATGAAGTGCTAAGCAGGATTTGGCTGTGCTCAAAAATTGCACACTGAAGTGAACTGGGCTCTCTGGAGCTAACTAATAATCCCAGCAAGAATCCTTCTGTCTTAGTGCTGTGAGGGTTTCATGTTTTTCAAACCATAACTCGGGGATGGGAAGGAACGCCACAAATAAAATCACAAAATTCCTATCGTTAAAATATTAGAAAAATTTGCTAACAAACTTTTGGGAACAAATTAGGTTACCTATTAATCTCAATAACCTCAAATTTTATGCTTGTACCTCAGGGGGTGTACTTCATAAAAATAACTGGGAACAATAAATTTGGCTTTGTGACATTTGATGATCTGCTACAAAAAGGAAAAATTTGAAAATGTTTTGTAGAAGCCTGATGATCTGGCATTACAGTAACATCTGACATCTCTAGTGATCATATTCGTGTATTTCACAGTTTTGTCATAGAACCAAAATTGATGTAATCATACAGGATTATGGGTAATTAGAACTGCAGGTAGGAGATGGAGCACTCTGATTCATTGGTGAGAATGACTGACAACAGCATAGCAGCTCCTGTTCCTGTCTGCCCACCCACCTGGACAGTTTAGATCCTGAACATCAAGGAAACTTGGATGAATTTTGATTTTTCTATAAAATCACAAGCTGCACTGGCAGACCAGGAGCAGCTTGCTGTAGCTGCCCCCCGATAACCTCTGCTGACTCATGAATCAGGAGCCGTATTTGAAGCAGAAGAAATAACATATTCTTTGACTGTTTTGGTGTTTAAATTCCATACCGATTTGATATAGTTGGAAGACTGTGGGGCTCAAAGTTGACCTGTGAAGAAAGTATATTAGTAGCAAAAAATATGTGCTTCCCAAGACAAAGAAAACCATACGCAACTTTAGGATCTCACAGGAAAATTACTAGTTTTTTTTTCCTGCTAATGCTTTAACTAATTTCAGCAGCTAATTTCTTCAATCATAAGATGTATTACAATTTGTAGAACAAGTTGTAACAATTGTTATAAAGCATATTGTGTTCTGTCATGATAAGCAAATGGAAAAACCTATTTGAAGAAATGCTTTCAGAAAGGACTTTCTGAAAGATTTTCCTATGAAAGATATTTTCAACTCAAGGTGCCTTGTTCAAGAGATGTAGGTGAGGGAGATTCATCTGTCAAGCCATAAATTGAGGAAATCAATTTATTGTATCTAGGAAACTGTTTATTAAGATAGGTTCCTAGTTAATGAATATTAAATGAAACTGGGACATAAAACAGATGTTCTTAGCAGCAGGCAGTTTTGTTTAAACCATTGTAAATGATGTAGTCTTAAATATTACATTCTATGGTGGGAATTGCTGTTGTAAAAGCTCGCGCGCACACACACAAGAAGTTGTAGTTGTCAAAGTGAACTAATTCATGCAGTTGGGCTGAATGGCCAATGAACTGAAATGCTTTTCTTGAAGTTGTCCCCTCTTTCCAAGAACATATCCTGAACTTATTGAAGTTCTCATCTGGTCTTCAGATTTTAAAGATGTTAGATGTTCCCTTGTAACTGTTTCCAAAGCTGAAACCAATACCATTATTTGGTATCAGCATCACAGTTTTTTGCCTCAACTGCTTGGCTTAAATTATATTGTGGAACTTACTACAAATATGAAGACATAAAGGTGTAATTGGGCGCAGACATCTGTGAGCTTTCTTTTCTTCTAAAGCATATTTTAAGAAGTTTTATGAAGCATACTACTTTAAAAAAAATTTACAAGTCCTCTGCTCTTTGTTTCTATAAATGCTATTTCTTATAGAAGCCATACTCAAAGGTGCAGTCACCAGGATGCTGGGCTGCATCAACAAGGGCATCACCAGCAGAGATGAAGAAGTCATTATCCCACTCTACTCAGCACTTGTCAGGCCACTCCTGGAATACTGTGTTCAGGTTTGGTCCCCACTATCCAAAAAAGATGTGGACAGGCTGGAGAGGGCAACCAAGATGGTCCGAGGACTGGGAAGCCTGACGTATGAGGAAAGGCCGAGGGAACTGGATTTGTTCAGCCTTGAGAAAAAAGGCTTAGGGGAGACCTTATCACCACGTTCCAGTGTTTAAAAGGTGGCTACAAAGGAGATGGAGACTCCCTTGTTACGAGGAGTCACGTGGAAGAGTCGAAGGGTGATGGATACAAGTTACTCCTGGGGAGATCCCGATTGGACACAAGAGGAAAATTTTTCACAATGAGAACAGTCGGCCATTGGAATAATCTCCCCAGGGAAGCGGTGGATTCCCCAACACTGGATGCTTTTAAGGTTGAGCTGGACAGGGTGCTGGGCCATCTTGTCTCGACCGTGCTTTTGCCAAGACAGGTTGGACCAGATGGTCCTTGAGGTCCCTTCCAACCTGGCATTCTATTCTATTCTATTCTATTCTATTCTATTCTATTCTATTCTATTCTATTCTGTGATTCTTTAAAATTAAGTAATTTACTTGGTCTAAAGTGTGTGTGTGTGCACATTCACAAGTGTGAATGGTGTGTAACAGCCGGCAGTTTCAGTGTCGCGTGTGACTGCAGTTCAGTGGTTGCTTATTGCTGTACAGGTGTACACTGGTTCAGAGCTTTGAAAACCGACTTGAAGACTTGAGCTGAATACCACAACATAAACAGGCTTTCATTGTAGCATTGGGCTGTATGTATAGGTCAGTTGGAGTACTGAATTTGTGATGTTTCAATTTTGCATTGACAAAGAAGAATGAATGCATGGGGAGATGGAACACAAAGACATCCCCTTGGATTTAGGGGGTAGTTTGCCTGTATGCATTGCAGGGTTATAGAGCAGTTTACGGCCAGTACGGGTATGGGCAAACAGTGTATTGGTGGGCAGTTGCAGTTGTCGGTACTGAATTCGGTTACCATAGCCACAGTTTTTCATCTCTTGTGATCTTCTCTTGGGGTTCTTGAAAATAATAGTGGTTTAGCTACAGCTTCAAATCTGTCCAAATTATTTTTGTCTGAGAAGTTCCACAGAATTTCTTTTTTTCTAGCAACAGTTTACATTTTCCTAGGAAATGTCTAGTATAATGTTTGTTGTGATTCTTTTTGTATCATGTGTGAATTAGTTTGGTCAGGTTTATGTGTCTGTGAGTATGTACATTTGCATATAGGTACATAATAATAATGCTAAAAATTCTAGGGATCAAAATCCACCCTTTTTCTAACTCTCTAGGGGAACCATCTGGAATCACCGAGTCAGGTTTCTTGAAGACAGAGTCCTGAGCTCCTGGACATCATTCACCATTTGGAATGCTGGCAAGCAAGGCAAGAAGCTCTACAGAAGCTTGTCACCAGCTAATCGGAAAAAGGTGAGCTAGTAAGAGTAGGGTAACATCTGTACAAAACCACTTTCTTCTCTTTCATATACCTCCTTGCTTCTTCTAACATAATGTAGCAAAATTCTTAGAAAATGTTGTAACCCCAAAATGCTAGTTGATGATTAATATAAATTGGGGAAATTCTTAATATTCTGTATAATGTATTTCTTCTTTTAATATGCTGTATTACATTATTGAGAGTGG